TCCAACTTTTATCGGTGCGACACACTTTGTACATCATGAACATTGGGATTTCATCGTTCACAAGTTCAAATATACACATGTTACCTATTTGAAGTTGTTTCTCTCTAACGTAGCCTATCCAACCTATGGTGAAACATCGCACCTGACCATTTGTTTTTAGATTTGTTGTCACTGGCCAATTGTGATGTGAACGATCATGAATTTGAACATTCTGGACAAATTTTGGTAGATACGATCGAGCGAAAGCCCCAGGTACATACTACAAATTAAATTCACAAATCTATAAATAGCAAAATTTAGAATTAGGTGAGAGCAATGAATATGAAAAATGGTTCATACATATAAGGCAAGAATGACACAGTTTACAAAAGATTTAACTTAAAGAGGAGAGGAGCTTACACTTTTTCGATGACCATCTCGATTAGCCTCTAATGTTACTCGAAAAATAGGATCGACATTAGGTGAAATCTCAACCTCAAATGCTATTCGTGATGGGATACCACGGGCTAGAGATCTTGGTTTAACAAATATTTAGGTTGATACTGACTCGACTGTTGCCATTCACTACATCACCAGAGGTGGCGGATTGTGGCCTATCCATGGGATACTTAGACGGATTGCAGATATTATTTCTTTTAGCAGAGATATGGTTTCCCACATCTTCAAAGAGGGGTGTTATAGAGGGTTAGCATCATCGTAGATACCAGAAATATGGTCCAGCCGACCTACCACGACATATCATAGCGCTTGTTCAGATTGACAGATATGGTTTGCCCAACACTAGAATTTAAGTATTTGTATTTTACTTTTATTTTTGCTTACACTTGTGCTTTTTGTAAGGGAGTAGGATTCCTTGTTTGCTGCTTTCCTATTATTCTTTACTTTTTTTTGTAAGGGAAGTAGTTCTTACTCATTCATTGATTTTATTGACATCATTTGTAATCATGGTATTTCTCATCCACTAGTGATGACATATTAATAAAATTTCGGAGGTACCGCCCTCCTTTCACTAAAAAATAAGTAGAATTTTCGTTGTATTCAAAGATGATAACATAACCACTTTTTAAATTATGGTGGTCAAAGAATTGTGGCTATCTAGCAGCAAGATACATGTTATCATCAACCCTTTCCAATTGTATGTTGCAAATGATTCCATTATAACCGATCAAACGTATTGTATCACTAAATGTTAACAAAAGATCTAGGAAGCGACTGTAAGAAAAAAAGAAAAAAAGTCTCATAAAAATGTTATTTACTTTATATACAATTTCATCAATAATGAATAAATGTTAACAAAGAGATCATTTTAAGTCCTACCAAACGAACATTATGGCCCAATGAAGGTGTTATTACTTGAAAGAAACGGTGTGGTAGATCACTTCTGTTTGACATAATATTTCTACTACAAAGAAAATAGATGAACATCTACATTAAATTTTTACCTACAAGAATAATCGTTATTAATATAACTGAAATTGACGATAAGAAAAAAGAGTGTAAAATAAAAACAATGTAATAAAAGAATTTACCACGGCTCGA